TTTTTTTTTTTTTTTTTTTTTTTTTTTTTTTTTTTTAAATAAAGGCAAATGTAACTTAAGAAAAAAAAAAGAAAGAAAAGCATGCAGGCTCTACAGGCAAGGAGTCCACTTCCATGTATCTGTTCTCTGTGAGGTAACTCAATTCTCTTTTGTAGAGAAACATGCAAAAGGCCAAACAATATCCCGAGCCATACTGCACATGAAAATTTTAAAATATGCAACATTCAGAATGCACCTTTCACCTCTGTACACACAAGTCAATGCAAAATCTGCAAAGAAACAAGTGTCACAGTAAATGAAGCCAGGTGCAAGCAATGACAGCTGAACAATGCAGTAGTGCTCACCCAGTTTGTACAGTAATTGGCACTCTACAGTATTTCTACTCATTTTTTGATTCATTTGCACTTTGTGCTGCCTCTCCCTGGGGATCTAATTCAATCTTTACAGAAACATCTGGCCCCTCCGACCTCATTAATTTCATCTTTTTCTTTGGAGGGTTTTTCAAAGTGCCCAGCCTCTCCTTTACTTTGTACTCCAGTGTACTGTGGGGAATCCCATAAATACTCTGAGCTTTGGAAACACTCATTTTTCCACTCATAACCACTGAGATTGCTTCCTCCAGTATCTCACTGTTGTACTGTCTGTAACGCCCTCTTTTCTTCCGAGGCTGCTTGGAGCCAGGGTCTCCTTCTTGATCCGATGTGGGATATGGCTGTCCAGAGGTAGACTGCTCAGCATCTGAGCCCCAAGAATCGGGTCCAGCATCTAGCATGCTTTTTCTATTTTGTTTTGGAAGAATAGCCCTTAACTTTTTACTAAGCGCGCTCTCCGTTTGTGAACCCATTACCAAAGAGCTATAGCTGTACTGATCACCAGTGCGAGACTCCCAAGAAAGATCCATTCCTCGAACTTGTGGTATCTTTAAATCTACAGGAGATGCATGGCTCGCATCCTTTTTTCCATCTTGTTTTGCTTGAAGTGCCATTTTTGGAAAGGCAGAGTTTTCTGCAAGAAAAGGAAGGTCACTGATGTTGCTGAGTGCACCATTTCCCCTGAACTTCATACGGCTGAGGTTGAACTCATAATGTGGTTTTGCCCAAGAGGCTTCCCTGGATAATATTAAGTGTTGTCCATGATTCTGTAATCCAGATGGCCCAAGGCTGGCAGCTGTTGACAATTGGTTTCTGCTCAGTAGCTCTTCACTAATCTGCAGGGATCGAGCCAATGGAACTTTGAGTGATGTGGAGTGTCCAAAACCTTCCCTGGTTCCATCCTGTAAGCTTCTTGGAGGTACCCCATCACCACTCCGAAGTCCGTCTGGGCGGTACTGGCTGGGTCTCCCAGGTCGCCTAATTGGATGGAAGGAAACTGATGTGAGCAGGACTTGCACAGGTAGGGAGGGATGGGTGAGGGGACCACTCCTTTATTAGAAGGCCTTGCTTGGGTAACATCACTTTGTGTTATTTATTTATTTTTCTCTAAAATTAAAAAAAATGGTCTCAGCAGTTAGTTTTAAAACTTGTTCACAAAAAAAGAAAAAGGAAAAAAGAAAAAAAAAAAAAACCAGGAGCTTTTTGGGCAAAGAAAAATTAAACCTGTCAGCTGGTCTCTGGTTGGGTTCACAAATTTTCGGAGAAAAAGTTTCGCGCAACTGTCTGAAAATAGCACCTTAATTATTAATTACAAAGTAATCATCGAGTCTCCATAGATCTACACAGAATTGTGTTACCAATGTGACGTTACCACTAAACAAGTACAGTAATAAAAGAGTAAGCCAAATTATTTATTTTAATGCAACATATTCAACATTCATGACAACCAGCTATAAAACTGGAACCATTTACATTGGTGGAACCCATAGATAATTGCTCATTTATCCCACAAACAAGCTGATATTCATTATCAAAAACCAAACAAGTTCAAATAACATTTCTTATTTTGCTTGGGAAAAAAATATGGCTACCAGCCCCAAGGGGTGGGGGGGTGGGGGGGACCCAAACCAAAATACCCATCGCATTTTAACTTACCACATCTTCATTTTAAAACACTATTAGCTGCAGACACACGAGTACCACTATGTTTCCATTTGAAATAATCCAATCTTTAAAGAACTGCCCTTTATTTTCCCCAAACTTTGTTCCTTAAGTTCTACTCAAAGTAATTACTGTCAGAGGTATATGTTTTAAACAGTTTTAAAGCAGTTTTCTTTAGTTAAAATGGTCTCTTCTTAAAATACCAAACATCAATTTTGAAATTTTAAGTGGAAAGCTTTCAAATAATATTTAAAAAGTCAACTACTTACAACAAGGTTAATTCATAAGGTTTCCATTTTTCACAAGATATAAAGATTATCACTGATAAAACTGGCAACTGGTAAAGCATGCCCAAGGGGAATAATTACATTTACTAGGCACAAACGTGGAACTCTGAAGAAATGATAAACCAGCTATGTTCTCCAAAAGTCTAGAGGGACCCTGTGCTGTTATCAGTAAAAAACATAATAAAGATAACAATGAATAGTCAACTAAAAGATGGGCAATCTATTGGTGCTTTTGTCTTCCAGAAAACGATACCACATAAAAAACACTTTCTTTCCATTCAGAGGGATAAACACAGCAACTTCAACCATATAATACATGGACTTGGTGGCCAAGTTTAAAGTAATCTTAGGCGAGGGATTCATTTATACAAACCACACTTAAGCTTCTCCTACATGTGTCCTCAATTACACAATCCAAGTTTTCTGATATATAAAAAAATGGAATCCAATGATTTGGGACCACAAGGACTTGTATCTAGTATAAACTATAGTGAAAAGGAGGGCTTAAGAAAAAAGGTTAGTAAACCATGCAAACTGCATTAAATCAAGAAGTTACTTTTAGATTGAATAAAGGAGGAGAGAAAAAGGAAAATGACAGAATTTTAGAGAAAATAAAGGCAGCATTTTAGAAGTCAGTAAAGGAATCCTTCAATTTGAAGGTAATTAAGAGGAAGTTGAAAAAAGGTTAGTCCATTTAATGTGTACTTATTGCTTTAACACCTAAAAACTTTCCTATGTCGATATTCTAAAAGTTAATAAACTTAAATATTACCTAATTTAGCTTACCGAAGTGATTTTTCATGAATGAAGTTGATTTTTGGTCACAACACAATTTTATGGAAATTCCTTCCCAATATGGCACTTAAATGTCTTCATTAATATCTGGCTTTTCTACATGGTTTCTATGTACATGTAGAGGGAGAATTAAGACAATTCTCACACTATAAAACTAGGTGGTGGGTAATCTGCTAAGAGTTATCAAAACTGAGCATATAATGTCTTGATAGCATAAGACGGTTATCCCAACATCTACAGTCTTAACCACTTAAAAAACAAAAAATACATACGATTATTTTTTCTGAACTGCCACACAGAGTTAAAACTGCAGTTCAAATCAACAAACAAAACAAAACCAAAACAAACAAACAAGAAAAAAACAAACAGCCCCCACATACCCACACATTTCATTAGAGATACCAAGTAAAATACTGGAGCCCAATTTTCATTCAACAACCTCCGCACACATACTACTGCCTTTACATCTGAACTCTGGAATTATTTAGGTTGGGTTTCCCACTCCCAAACACTCAACAACAGAAAGTCCCAAGACATTCTTGCCAGATTTTCAATCATTTACTATTTGTACTAACTTGGCAAACCTGATCTACACTAGTCAATTCTGGACTTCACAGACTGTGCTTTTACTTGATCAATGGACTAAGCAATTTACTAAAGGCCTACTTATAACAACGTTATTCTGAAGAATTAATTTTTAAAACATATAAAGGAGATTTTCACCAATCTTCGATAAACCGTCCCCTATAAACTGTGAAATTCTACAAATATTTTCCCTTACCCGTTCCCTTGAGCACTGGAGCAGCCTGGAGAATGGCTCAGGGAAGTGCTGCCAGCACATGGACTTTTCTTAGTGGACAGATCAAGTACACCGTCTGCAGAGACACAAACACACACCTGAGGATATTAAAAACTAGGAACAAATGTGAACTGAACAGACTAAAAATGACAAAGCAATAGGTCTAGTCAACCAAGCAGATACACTAGCTATATACGTAAGACAGGGTATCTTCCCTCCTAAAGTGACATACATTTAGCAAAGCTTGTTATATCTAACATCTCCAAGGGTTAAATATTTTATTAATAGGGCAAAAGAAAAGGTACAGCCTACCACTGAAGATATAGTCAGGTATTAGAAATTGCAGTTTACACAGTATGTAAATAGAACTATTAGACTTCGCTTTCGAAATGTGCCTTTATCAAAGCATATGAGATCTCAATGCCACATCATACAGATTATAAAACCAAATTCCTCAAGAGCTAAGTCTACCCGAAACACTAAAACAAACATTAAAGTTGGATTTAGAAAATTTTATGTGACACAAATCATTTTGAAACATAAGTTTATATGGTTAAATTATATGTATATACAAAATAGTCTGTAAGATGAATCAGATGTTAACTGTGATTTTCATGTGTCCTCATTACTCTTTGGACACATCTGCAAAAAACTGTATATTTGAATTCAATCTTTTGGAAAAACTCTTCAGAGATTCAAAATTCCCTTCTTGGTATTTATAAAGGCAAGGTTTTTCAATTAATAAGCTGTTACAAACTGGTGAGCAAAGTTTAAGGAAAGAGAGAAGAATGAAATCGTCTTGATACTGATGAAAGCCTAGAGATTTAACCATTTTTTACTGAAACTAGAATAACAAATTCATGTTATCAGAACATAAAATTAGAAGACCTTCTTATCCCACAAAGACTTCTTTCCCTCATAGACATGTCTAGAAAAGAAAACTCATCTTCTAGACAACTTTTAAAGCTGCCATTTTGTCCAAAATTAACAGAGCAAGCTAATAATCAATGGCTCTGATTTTCAGCTGACGAGCAGAGAGGCCTATCTAGTTATGTTAAAAACTGCCCCAACATAGAACCTAAATAGGATTTGTGTCTGAGCACACTGTAACTCCTGATTTCAGGCTGTTAGAAATATGTGACTGAGCTTGTAAACCAAAAATCCCACACTCATCCAGAATAACTGCTGTCCTTTAGAGTCACTAATATTTCTAAAAATATAGTTGTAATCTTATAAGGACACCAAGTTAACCCAATTAGACATCTAACAAGCAAACACACTGCTTAAAATACTTCCAACCAAAATATTTCCAACAAAAGACACTATTTAAAGACTTCCAAGCCTGTCTAATCATCAAATAGGCAACATATTTTAAGTCTACTTAAATATACTAAATATACAGTGGTTTCATTGAAAACACTTGAAAATAGATCTGGGAAATATAATGTTAAAATTCTGTTTCACTTGAAGTCTATACACTACAATCCTGTCATCTAGGTCAAATTCCTCTTCAGAGCATACGGTCAGTACAATGTATCTCTTAAGTACACCACCAACTAGAAGAAGTTAAATTAGACTAAGTGGTATCTTTGTATGTTAATCTCTATCATTAATATTTTAAATACAACCTCTACACTGTCATTCTCCTATTGTAAACCTGAAGTTTTTAATGCAATATTTAGAGCAGAAAGATTTTTAGGGGCGCCTGGATGGTTCAGTCAGTTAAGCGTCTGACTTTGGCTCAGGTCATGATCTCACGGTTTGTGAGTTTGAGCCCCATGTCTGGCTCTGGGCTGACAGCTCGAAGCCTGGAGCCTGCTTCAAATTCTTTGTCTCCCTCTCTCTCTGTCCCCGCCCCGCCCCCCCCCCACCTCTCTCCCACGCATGCACACTCTCTCTCTCAAGAAATGAATCAACATTAAAAAAAAAAAAAAAAAAAAAAAAAAAAAAAAAAAAGACTTTTAATGAAAGCTACCAATCTTTGGTAAAGATAATCCTCAATAAAACAGAAAAGCACAATTTTGCGAATATGGTGACCAAAGGTACACTGATCAATGTGAACATATGACAATGAGGAATTCTACTAGGAAATCTCTCAGAATTTTGAGATTACGATTGCTGTTCTTTACCCAGAAACAGAAAAAAAGAAAAAGAAAAACTATTCAAAAATGTATTCTTTAAAAACCTAAAGCCAGTCCATTAAATGTAAATCCTTCTTAAATTACTTATAATAAGCAATAGACAGTCCTTTCTAAGAGGTTCTTCATACAAATTCAAACCTAATTTTGCAAAATGAACATGTATTTCTCACCAATAAATCCACACCTCTCATAACTTTCTGCACACTCTTAGGAGATATTCTAGGAAAATGAACTCTCACTAGAACAGATATCACCAATTTACAATCTGTAATGGGTCAAACAATGGCCCAGTTGAAATGCTCACTGCATCTCTGTGAAATTAAAAAGGGATCACAAAAAACCCCAAATATTTAATCTATTTAAGAGTAAACTTTTCTTAGATTCAAGAAATATTTGCTAAGCAAAACTGATAACCTTTTAACCTTGTCCCTTAATTAGGATCCTCACCAACAAATTTAAATTACCTTGGAAATATTCTAAGGTTAATTCATAATACAGTACATATACATATGGAGGTGCTTGTATATATATACATGTATATCCATATACATATGGAATACACTGAACAACCTGCTGTGTCTACTGTCTTCCTCATTATATCTAACCCTAGGAGTTTCTTTTTTAAAAATGCAAACAATACACATTCTCGCCTTATAATTTCATGTGCAGAGTATAAATTCTACCTAACAAGATACATGTATTTCTCAGCTAGGCGCTAATTCTAGAACACTGACGATCAGGGGAAACTTAATTTTTTATAGGGGTTTTAAAAACAATGGATATGGCAATGCTTTGTAAAACATAAAATATTTATATAAATATCAAGTAACTTAAAGATCAGTAACAAGTGTAACCACCTAACTTTCCTGAGTGGTACATTGATCTTGACTACAAACTACTGATATATAATGTATAGTAGCCATTTTATCTGTACTTCTCTATGACTGCATAGTCAGGAATAATTTAAGAATCAAATTAGTTTTTATCCTATTGTTACTGGTGCCCTACTTGCCAATAATTTTCTTCTCCCCAAAGTTAAAGTATTCTGATTGGACAGAGGAGACCTTGACATCAAACCATACCTTGTTCGCTAGGTTCTGACTGAGACTTTCTGACAGTAAGGTCCAGAGGTGAGTCTTGGTCAGCCATGAGAAGTTTGCTGAGCACAGGGTTCTGAGTAGTTGCAGCCGTGGGAGAGGTGGTGACTGGAGATGCTTTCGGCAGGCTTTGGTTCTTTGTGCTATTGGGCTGGCTGGGGTCCTGAGTAGAGCTATTTTTTGAGGTATATTCAGCAGCAAATTGTTGGATCATTCGCTGCATGATCTCACGGGCCACTAGGGGAATATTGGGGTCGGAGACCCAGGGACTGTCTGTAAACAAAGATTTATTTACTTTTAAACTGGGACAATGTACTACAAAAAAAAAAAAAAAAAAAAAAAAAAAAAAAAAAAAAAAAAAAAGAAGACAGCTTTCAAGCAAACATAAAATTTCATTTTCTTTTTTTCTTAAAATGCAATCTCCTAAAAATAGTATTCCCTCCCAGAATTAGATTTTTTAAGCTCTAAGCTTATGAGCTGCAGATGTTTTGAAGTAAAATTTTCATAAAATCACTTCTAAACACCCCCCTCAGTATTATGAAATTAAATAAAGGGAAAACAAATAGTATATCTTATGGGCAAGAATCACTTACCTGATACAGAAATCTCAAACCTTTCTTTTATGAAATAATTACTTCTGTTTACCACCTATAGATTACATCCGGTTTTTCCTAGACCTTTCCTCAGCCATCTCTTCCTAAATTGTTGAAGAATGGATTACTCAGTTATGAGTACATAATCTACTTTCTGTCAAAGACTGAAGGCATAGCAAAATTGTAAAAGGAGATACTTAATATAAGGTCCATGACAGACTGGGGCCATAGCCTCACATTTTCAGGCTCATAAGAATCACTTTGAGGGCCTGTAAAAACACACTGCTGGGTCCTATCCCCAGGGTTAACTGATTTAGCAGTTCTAGGGTGAGGTCAAGGACTGGCATTTCTACTAAGTTTCTAGGTGCAGCTGGAACCACTGGGCTTGGAGTTTAAAGGCCAGATCTCAAAGTTTAACACCATATATTTTCCATGAGTTCTTTAAATATACTCTGCCAATCATTAAGCACAATAGCAAAGGAATTAATAAAATAAACTTATCAATTTCTAATCCACGTTAATTTAAAAATAAAGACCATATGAATTCATTAACTCATAGAACTTCTGGCACTGGAGGGACCCTGAAGGTCAAATGGGGCAAAATAAAAGAGAAAATGTTTGGTATAAATATATCATCACATCTCTATCATTACCGCACTCTCAGGGAGACTAAGCTTCTCAAGAGCAGAGGTTATGTTTGTTTACCTCTGTATACTCAGCACCTAATCTTGCCTGGCATAAAGTATGCATTCATATTAGCTGAGTAATAAATGGATCAGTCAAATCAATCACCATCAAATAGTGTTTTGTTTTTTTTTCTGTAGACAAATAAGGTTAATGTGTCTAAAGAGAAGTGACCTCTTCAAATCTGTATAGATGGTTAGTGGTAGACCCTTGATTAAAACTCTCCCCCTGATCTTAATGTTCCACCTGTGACCTTTACTTCCACACCACACTTCAGAGGTTTCAGAAGGCAGTTCCAGAAAACCTGAGTTTCCTTGGTCTTTTAAAGATCAACTACAGAAGGTAAATTACTTTACCCATAATATGTTGGAGCTATAAGGGAATTAGGTTGATTTATAAATTTAGAGATAAACTGACTCATTCAATTCAAACCTAAAATCTCCACAACATACACATCATCAAAACTTCATGGGACTCTAAGAACAATTTTTTTTCCCCCTGAAAAACAACATTAAATACCAGAAGAAAGTCTAAAGTCAGAATATTTAATTCTCTGGAGTTTAATGAGGTTTTTCTCTACCAACAGCAACATTTCTGTTCTACCAAAAGTACTTCTAACCCCATGTTTCTTCTCTATAAATAGACTGAGTGTGCTAGATGGTTTAAGAATCAAGGTATTCAATTAGGTAAGGTTCAGAAATTATTACAACCATGAATGAGTTCCTTAAAAGTTTTAATAAACATTTTAGCCATACATTGCTTTTTTAAAATCTCTACCCACTGAATATTCTTATTAATATTCATTTAACTTTCCACTTAAGACCTATCCTCCAAATAAAAGACTGTATATAATTTCAAGTTTTATATTTTCTCAAGTTTTATATATTAATGTATCTTCTTATCCCCTGTAACACATAAAGAAAGTTTTCAAATAGGCAGAGTTAAACTAGATTCATAAATATATAGATTTTTGAAAAATCAGGGATTTTAGAATAAAGACCATAAACTGCTACCTCTGACCTTTAAATGGCTGTGGTGTATCTTGCCTCTTTGTTGAATGAAGAACATAACCATAAAACACAATTCATACTTACAAATTGATGACATATCTGTCATATGAATTTCTACATGTTTTGAAAAGTTTCCTGAACACATTTCATTCTTTCACTTACTTAAAACACAACTTCTATAAATCTAGACATGTCTTGGGGAATATGCACAAGTGAGTCAAATAAAAACCACAAATCAGATCAAAATTAACACTACAGGAAAACAAGTAAATGTTACATTACAGCCACTTATGTTTTTAAAATGGAAATCTAACTTATAGAAAGTGTCAAATTTTCTAACACAAGTGACAAAGCTGGAAAAAATTTGATAATGATAGTTGAAGGTATACCGTTCATAAGCTAAAATTTATTACTGAATCCATACCACAAAAGCCTACTTTAATTGCATCTATGTTCCTACTTAGCTTTTAGAACCTTTTCATACTCATTTAAAACACACAATTTGCAATACTTGGAAACAAAGTATTAATAACTCCAAATCTCTGAACTATTTAAAAAATATATATATATGTATTTATATATGCATACATACGTGTACACACACACACACACACAACACCCTTCAGACTAAATTGCCTGTCATATCTCTGCATATTATATACATTTTTGGTATAACTTGAAGAGTACTAATGGCTTTCAGACATTTCCATGAAGATTAATATTTAAAAATATCAATATTAATACATAAAACAAGGAGGAAGGAACTTCTAATAGCAAAGCAATAGTTCTTTTTCTGAACATCATATGCCAGTATACAAATACACAAACTTAACTTTACATACAATTTCAGAGGATTCTCATCCCTAAAGTCTACCCTAAGGCTGATTCCAAGGTAAACATTCCTTCCCTCATGTATCCAAAAGTTTAATTTTAAAATAAAACTTAGAAGAACTTTAAGCTATTCCTACATGACAAAGGGATGGGACCAGCAGAGAAGTAGGCTAGAATTCTCTTTAGGAATATGCTTATGATTGGCCTTATTAACTCCCTCCAAGCAAAGACTGGATGAAAAGTGGTTTCTCCACATATAGGAAGAGGAGCTCCTCTTTGCAGATAATTAGGCCCGTGACTCATTCAGTACACATCCTAAAGGACAGGAGCAGCAGAGGAGCTGTAAAGATATTTTATTTAATAAACTGACAGAACGAGTCTATCATTTATACCTTAATGTGAATTACTTTAATAAAACAATCAAATGTTTATACAACTAAGAAAATTACTATTTGGAACATAATTTTAGATTTCAGGGTATTTAGGGGATGATAAAGTGAGCATGGGAGCCTCAGTTGGGAGCTTCACGTCAGAGGGTGCTGAGGGTACTAAAAGTGAGGTGAGGGTGTACTGAAAAATTTAATTTTGCATAGGAAAAAAAAGGTGTCACTGAAAACAATAATCTTGTGTGTTCCTTAATTTTATAGGACACTTCATACTCCATTTTGAAAATACTGACCACATTAAGCAGAACATCAGCTGGTTTCCAACTGTAACCAACCAATTAGAATAGCACTTTATCAGACTTCCAACCACTGTAAAGGCAAAAATCACCCTTCAAATTTCAGAGGGAATTCCCAGAAGAATGAGGGATATAAACTAGAACATATAAAGAAGTACTAAAGAAAGCAGAATCATTGAGTCTGCTGAATATTAGAGTATTCAGGGTCACAAGAGTTTGTAGGAAACTTTTTTAGAACCTATCACAGTAACCTCCATCTTGGAACTAGAGGAAAGACATAACTAAGGAACACAAATCCATTTAGAATTTCTTGAAAGTAAAGACTTCACTAGAATGGATCATAGAGGGAAGGAAGCTTTCTGAAGGTCTTGGCCGATGGTAATTAGGCTTTGTGAATAGAGAAACAAAATGTAAATCATGTCTACAAAGGTTTTAAGGAGAAAGTTAAATTGAAAAATATAAGAGGTGGAGCTATTAAATACCACCTCAAATGTAAGGGGGAAAGTTTTATTACATAATTATGAATTCCTTTCTCTAATTTTAATAATTTAAAGAAGTTTCAGCAAAACAAGGCTCTATCAAGGAAATAAATGCCTGTAAATCTAATTTTAAGATACAACTTCACATCTCTCTAAATGAAATTTCAGCAAGGAATTACTAAAATTTTATACAGTTTTATGGTTATCTGCGATTAAAACTGTCACTATGTATGTAAGAAAATTTGACAAAATATATTAGTACTGAGACCTCAGAATTTTTTAGACTTTCATAATACTTTCAGGAACTATTTAACACAACTTACATGATTCCATCACTTCAAACTGAAAAAGAGGGAAGAGGAGTTGCCTTAACCTATTCCAAATTTAACTTGACCAAAGGAATATAAAGTGTGTTATTAACAAAGAAAAATGTTTTTAAAAGTAACTTTTTAAAAATGACATTAAAATTAAGAAAATATAAGACAAGCAGATGCTAAATGCCATTCTTCACTAGAACCAACCTTTTCTATAAAAGACTGCATTGAGGAACTCTTCTGCTTGTCTCTCGAATCGAATGATTTTTGCTTGCTCTTGTTTAAGCAGAGCTTCTTGCCCAGCTCCCGAAGCTGGTTCATCCAGACCGACTAAGTGTCCCTGCAAAAATATTTGGTGAAATATTTGCACAAAAATCTTTCCCCATTCAGTATCAAAAGCACAGATGCAAAATCAAAGACAAATGTTAGTAACAGATAAGACAAATCAGTTTAATACAATTAAAATATCTTAAAACTTTAAATCAGAATAAAATTTATCTCCACAAAAGTATAAAAGCAAAGTGAATGTAAATATATACTTGGGTGGTTTTTATGTATCTTACAAGTTTTGTTTAAAACTGACAGATAAACTCTAATTAAAATAACATTACTAACGGAAGATTTTTCTTGAGCATTTAAATATGTCCGTTCTTATTACACCATACAGCAATAGTACACAGACATTCAACTCAGACAAAAAAAATAGCTTAAATCCTAAATACTATTTGAGAATCATGTTTGCCCTCCTAGTATAACATGTTTTCTCCAGACACAAAACAAACATAATTTTAAAAGGGCCGTTAGAAGGGAAAACTCAAAAGAATGTATCCGAATTCATAATTCTGTGCCTAGAATATAATTCATAAACTGTAGCTTTCAAATGTTTAGAGAGTTGTGAAATTAATACGTTAAAACTGGCTCTAGAAAACAGAATTTAAAAATACACTGCGTCACATGTTCTAAAGGTACACATTTCTATATATGCTTGAACATGCTTACAATATAAACATGTTAAGTCCTGATCACAAAGTTTCAAACTGCCACACTAGACTCATCCCAAAGACTCCCAGAATCTGCTCTCAGGCTGTAGGAGCACTAGACTAGGTAGACAATGCTTTGCATTTACTTCCACTCTTGTAGCTAATGAACAGGAGACTAAGTAAGTACATCTTTGAAGTGTTCTTTAAGTTCCAATGCATATAATTTACTTCAAATCACCACAATGTATCGCCACAGGCATATATAATTCTGTCATGGAAAACTTAAAAGTACTTAGAAGTACCTAAAAGTACTCTAAAAAAGAAAATGGGGACACACCCTGACACAGTGAAAAGGAAGCAAACAGGGCACTGAAGGCACATTATAATCCACAATTTTCTCAAAGATTTCAAATACAAGCAATGACATGTGCAATCAGATTTTTTTATGATTTCTCCATTGTACAAACTGTGTCAACAGCACAACCAAAATATGTGTCTTTTGCAAAGACACATTTAGCACCAATTATATATTACAGTTTAATATGAAGAACTCTCTTGCATAATCAAATGAAAACAATCATCCCATAAAATATCCATGAGACACGTTAAGTCTGCCACATAAAGAAAATATTGTTATAAAGTCATTATAAAAACATTTTCATTCATTCATTCATTCATTCATTCATTCATTCATTCATTCAGTAGGCTTCCCCGGCCCAGCATGGAGCCCAACCAACACAAGGCTTTAACTCACGACCCTGAGATCAAGACGTGAGCTGAGATCAAGAGTTGGACACTTAACCAACTAAGTTTATTATAGTTGTACTTGCCAACTTTATTATAGTTGTATTTGCCAACATTCTCTTTCGTGGCTTAAAGAAATTAATTTTTAAAAATGAATCACAAAATAATGTAATTTTGATACAGATTTAACATCTGAAAGGATCGGGAACAGGTACTAATTAGAGACCAATAAAATCCTCAACTGTGTTTTAATGGCATTTCATTGTTTAGTGATTTTTAAACTCAGACATTATATGGTATAAACTGTACTTAACCCCTCAGTCCTACATTCAGTAAGTTTAGTCAGACTTTCAGCAGGATATCTTTATTTTTCATGTTTAAAAATGCGTATCTCAATGAGAGAAGATGTTAGTTGAAGGACGCATTGTACACAGTGTAGTTTCAATGCGTTAAGCATACAGCTATCCCCATTGATTCTACACATACATTTACAAATATGTGTATCCTTTCCATGTCTTTCCAAGTTTTTATTTAAATTCCTGCTAGTTAACATACAGTGTAATATTAATTTCAGGTGTAGAATTTAGTGATTCAACACTTACATACAACACTTGGAGCTCACCACAAAAATAAGGAACACTTCACGAATCTGTATCATCCTTGCGTAGGGGCCATGCTAATTTTTTCTGTATGGTTACAATTTTAGCATATGTGCTGCCAAAGCAAGCACAGAATATCTATACTTAAACCATGCTCAAATGTTGCATTCAGGCTACTTTCTAATCTAAATCAACTCATAGCAACTAACAGCACTCAGTAAGGAAGGTGTTACATGTTTTTTCTTGAATTAAACAATTAATTACCAATTTTATCAACCTGGACGCTGAGACCTTCAGATAACTTTTAGTTGGTTCATCTAAATTATAGTCACACCGGGGCGCCTGGGTGGCGCAGTCGGTTAAGCGGCCGACTTCAGCCAGGTCACGATCTCGCGGTCCGTGAGTTCGAGCCCCGCGTCGGGCTCTGGGCTGATGGCTCAGAGCCTGGAGCCTGTTTCCGATTCTGTGTCTCCCTCTCTCTCTGCCCCTCCCCCGTTCATGCTCTGTCTCTCTCTGTCCCAAAAAAATAAATAAACGTTAAAAAAAAAATTTTTTTTAAATAAATAAATAAATTATAGTCACACCTATTTGTTTTGTTTCCAAACAGTTTTATTGAGATATAATACACGTATCATACAATTCACCTATTTAAAGTATAAATTCAATGTTTTTCTTGTAGCGTCACAGAGGTGTGGGACCATCACCATGATAAACTTCAGAATATTTTTGTACCGCAAGACATCAACAGTCACTCACTTCCCATTCTCCCACTTGCCCCAACATTAGGCAACCACTGTATTATTTTCTGCCTCTCTCTACAGACTTGCTTATTCTGGATATTTCACATAAACGGAATCGTGCAATATTCATGGTGTGTGTGTGTGTGGTTTCTTCCTCCTAGAATAATGTTTTCAAGGTTCACCCCATCGTAGCAGATACCAGTACTTCGTTCCTTTTTATTGCCAAATAACATTCCATTGTACTGATGTAGCACATTTTACCCATTCATCAGTTGATAATGACCATTTGGATTTCTTTTTGGCTGCTATGATACAAATAATGCAGTCTTTAGTGTTTGTGTACAAGTTTTTGTGTACTTTCATTTTTCTTCGATATGTATTTAGGAGTGGAATTTGTAGATCATATGCTAATTATATTTACCATTCTGAAAAAGTACACTAAACCATCTTCCAAAGCAGGTGTACCATTTAATATTCCCAACAGCAGTGAGGGTTCTGACTTCTCCACATTCTCATGAACACTTGCTATCATTTTTATTACATCCATTCCAGTACACAAGAAATGGTGCCTAATGGTTCTGATTAGATTTCCCTAATGATTAATAATGTTGAACATCTAACTGGCCATTTAAATACCTTCTTTGGAGAAATGTACATTCTTATGCTTTGCCCAGTTTTTAATTGGGCTCACTTTTTTTAATGTTTGAGTTGTAAGAATTCCTGATATATTCTGGATACAATTCCATTATCAGATTTAAGATTTGCAAATATTTTCTACCATCAATGAGCTTTATTATCACTTCACTGATGCTACCTACTACTGTTAACAGTACAAAGTTCTTAATTTTAATGAATTCCAATTTATTTTTTGACATTTGTGCTTTGGTATTATATCTAAAAAACTAGTGGCTAGCCCAAGATCATTAAGATTTACTCTTATGTTTTCTTCTAAATGTTTTATAGTTTTAGAACTTACTTTTAGGTATATGACCCGTTTCAAATAAACTTTTGTGTATGGTAAAAGGAAGGGGTCCAACTTCGTCAAAAATCACTGGCCATAAATTTTACTTCTGGATGCTCAACTCTGTTCCGCTGATCTACATATCCATCTGTAGGCCAGAAACACACTATGTTGATCATGGTAGTTTTGTAAGTTCTGCTATTAGGAAGTGTAAATCCTCTCTTCTAAGATTGTTTTGGCTACTCAGGCATCCTGTAAATTCTTACATGAATTTTAAGATCAGTTTGCCAATCTCTGCAAAGAAGTCACCAGAAATCTTGGTAGGTTATGCAGTGAATCTGCAGGTTATTTGGGGGAGTAATGCCATCTTCATAATATTAAGTGTTCCAATCCACGAACATGAGATCATACCTTTCTATTTATTTCGATCTTCTTTAATTTATTTCAACAATTTTAATTTACAGTGTACAAGTCTTAAACTTGTGTTTACTTTATTCCTAAGTATTCTATTCCTTTTGATGCTATAGTAAATGGAACTGTTTTCTTAATTTTCACGTTCAGACTATTCACTGCTATTGTATAGAAATACAATCAATTTTTTAAAAAATGTTGTATTCTACAACCTTGTTGAACTTATTAACTCTAATATATTTTGTTCTGTTGATTCCTTAAAATTTTCCATATACAACATCATGTCATCTACAAATACTTTTACTACTTCTTTTGCAATCTGGGTAACTCTGGTTTCTTTTCTTTTTTTAGAGAGAGAGCATGCGCGCATACAAGCAGGGGAGAGGGACAGAGGGAGGGAGGGGGAGAATGGGGGATGGAGAGGAAGACAGAGAGAGAGAGACAGAGAGACAGAGAGACAGAGAGAGAGAGAGAGAGAGAGAGAGAGAGAGAATGAATATCTTAAGCAGGCTCCATGCTCAGGGCAGAGGCCAACACGAAGTTCAATCCCATGACCCTGGGATCATGACCTGAGGTGACACTAAGAGTTGGATGCTTAACCAACTGGGCCAGCCAGGCACCCCTGCTTTTATTGCCTAATTGCCAAGGCTAGGGCTTCTGCTAGAACAGTGCATAGAAGTATTGAGAATGGACAACTCTGTCTTGTTCCTAATTTTAGGGGGGAAATGTCCAGTTTTTACCACAGCTGTGTATTTTTGTAGAACAGGCTGAGGAATTTCTCTTCTAGTCCTAGTTTCTTGGGTGTTTTTATCACAAAAAGGTGTTGGATTTGGTCACTTTTTGCAGGGACATCCATTGTGATGATCACGTGGTTTTTATCACTGATTCCCATTAATGCACTATAT